TGGCGGGTTGTTTGTCAGAATGCTTGCCATTAATTAGAACCAAATAATCCTACCTAGGAAACTTTGGATTTGGAGATTCTCGTGGTGGTGGTGGCAATTTTGGACCAGGACCAGGAAGCAACTTTAGGGGGGGGTCTGGTAAGTATATTTAAAGGGTGTGATAGGTTTGATTTTTGAATAGAGTGATTTTATTAGGATTTAGGAGATCCTGAGCTGGGTCTAGGGTAACACGTGCTGAGCATGTATGGTGCTAGTGTATTTAATTTCTTGCACCTCACAAAATGATACTGATACCTGGAATTTCAGTATTTGGGAACAAGAAGCAGGGGGGGGTTAGAAGAAATCAGAGGACTTCCTTAGCTGCCTGTGTGCGCGCACACAAACACGATTCAAGATATGTTTGGACTTGTCTCAAAAAATAGTCAGGATTGGTATAGAATATTTCAGAGCATTTTAGGTTTTAGCTTATATAAATAAATGCAGTAACTTGTGATTTTAACATTTTGATGCTATATGCTTTCATTCCTTTATTAAAGTTTGTGCGACTTTTTGGATCCAAATTCATTACTTTAAAACATGTTTTGTAATGGTAGTAAAATGGAATTGATATGCTTTTTAAATGAGCTGGTAAGATTACCAGCCATCATTCTGACATACTAATATTGTAGAGAAAAGTAAAATGTTAACTTTTTCTAAACAGATGGATATGGAAGTGGACGAGGATTTGGAGATGGCTATAATGGGTATGGAGGAGGACCTGGAGGTTAGTTTTGCTTAGATTGTGATTTATGTATCTTAATATATTTAATAACATTGCATCTGGGGCTTTGGTTACTTTTATTTAGATTTTGATTCATGTATCTTAATATGTAATTAATACCATTTTAGTTGGGTCTTGGTTTTGCCTGTCAGAGTACTTAGGTGATGACGGTTATTTGGCTTTTAAGAATGTACTTTGAGTTTTTTACTAATATATATATATAATATAATTAATATAAGTATATAATATAACTTATGCAGTAAAAGTCAGTTGAGGTTCCATTTCATGGAAAAATTGATCTAGATGGGGAAATGGACATTGTATGTAGATCAGCTAGGATGCTAGAATTTGAGGTGTGGGTGTTAAGGGGAAATAAATTAAGAGTAGTTAATATTGTTTTGCTGCTGGGATCCCTTAGGATAACATTTTACCTAAGGAACATATCCAGAGTTTATAAATTTTGTTTTTTGAGATGGTCTCTATGTAGCGCTGAGTTTCTATAGATCAGGTTGCCTTCAAACTCAGCGATCCAGAGTATCAAGAGTATAAATCTTGCAGGTATGCTACCCCCATATTTCTTCCTCAAACTACAGAGCATAAGAATTTTAAATATTTCCGGTTCAAAGTAGAGTCATGGTATTACCTGTTATTTTAAGTTGCTTTATATATGGTGGTTTGTAATCCTGAAATGCTTCCCCAAGAATGGGTGTTATTATTTTTTGAGTATTTTGGACTACAAAACAAATAATTCACCTTAAAAAAATGTCTTAAACCCAGAAATGAGTATAATAAAGACAATTCAAATGGAATTGAAAAATTTAAGCAATTACTTAAAGGCTTATTTTATAATAGGTGGCAATTTTGGAGGTAGCCCTGGTTATGGAGGAGGAAGAGGAGGATATGGTGGTGGAGGACCTGGATATGGCAACCAGGGTGGGGGCTACGGAGGTGGTTATGACAACTATGGAGGAGGTAATAAATTCATCTACAACCTTTATGTTGGAATTTGGATTAGAACTAATGATACTTATTATTCATTGTCACTTAGATGCTTTAAATTGTAGGGTTATAGAGAGGTACTATATACTTTGATTTTTGTAGAACATTTGTTCTGAAAATTAAACTTCAGTTTTGAATTAATGCTTCTATAACAATAGTTCAGGTGTCTGTTGATTGGCTGATATTCTTAATTCTTTCATAGGAAATTATGGAAGTGGAAATTACAATGATTTTGGAAATTATAACCAGCAACCTTCTAACTATGGCCCAATGAAGAGTGGAAACTTTGGTGGTAGCAGGAACATGGGAGGACCATATGGTGGAGGTAATTTACTAAAGACTTGGCAATTTAGGTGATTTGAGAGGTATAGAGGTAGAACAGTTTGCATTTCAGAAGGGAAAGAATCTAATAGTTAAACATAAGAGAATTTTCCGTTTTAATTTGACCTTATAAAATTACTAAAGTGTATCCCAAGTATAAAGTTAGGTAATTTGGGGGGGTGTTTGTAGGGATGGTATTGAGACAGGTTCTATGTAGTTTAGGTCGTCTTGAAGCTCCACAGATTACCTACCTATACATTGTCTGTGCTGGGGTTAAAGGCCAGTGTTACTACCATGCCCACCTAAAAATTAGGAGTAACTGTTGAATTTTAACTAATAGTTACTCAAGCAAGGTACCGCTAATACTGGCAAGGGGAAAATGGAAGATCAATTTTTTAGGGTCTTCATTGTCCTTCTAAACATGAAACCAAATAGAGTACACGTTGTTTAACTTATGCAAGAAACTTTTAACATTAAAAAATATTTTTTTTGTATTTTGAGACAAGGTCCAATTGTTTAAAAGTTGTTTGTGCTTAATTAAGAGTAATGGACTTAAAAGGTAGGGGATATTAATTATATCTCACACCTTTCATGTACCATTAATTGCAGCACTCAAGGAATAGGATTTCTTGAGTTCACAGCCAGCCTGGTTTTCAGAGTGAGTTCAGGACAGTCAGATCTATGTAGAGACCATCTGTCATAAAACCAAAAGATTTGAAATTTGAAAACTTTAAAGATATGCCCACAAGCCTACAAGTTTACATATGTGCTAAACTTGCTTTCTTATTTCAATCGTAGGAAACTATGGTCCTGGAGGAAGTGGAGGAAGTGGGGGCTATGGTGGGAGGAGCCGATACTGAGCTTCTTCTTACCACGGGTAAGTAGTTTTTGAGTTTTACAATTATTATTATCTTGGGAGAATTAGCGGCAGGAGTTAAAGCATTTTAGGATCATGTTATCTTTCCTTAAAATCTGGTTAGATGGATAATTTCATAACCTATTTTTTTTTTACTCTTTACTTCTGTTGAAACAGGCTTCACTGTATAAATAGGAGAGGATGAGAGCCCAGAGGTAACAGAACAGCTTCAGGTTATCGAAATAACAATGTTAAGGAAACTCTTATCTCAGTCATGCATAAATATGCAGTGATATGGCAGAAGACACCAGAGCAGATGCAGAGAGCCATTTTGTGAATGGATTGGATTATTTAATAACATTACCTTACTGTGGAGGAAGGATTGTAAAAAATGCCTTTGAGACAGTTTCTTAGCTTTTTAATTGTTGTTTCTTTCTAGTGGTCTTTGTAAGAGTGTAGAAGCATTCCTTCTTTGATAATGTTAAATTTGTAAGTTTCAGGTGACATGTGAAACCTTTTTTAAGATTTTTCTCAAAAGTTTTGAAAAGCTATTAGCCAGGATCATGGTGTAATAAGACATAACGTTTTTCCTTTTAAAAATTTAAGTGCGTGTGTAGAGTTAAGAAGCTGTTGTACATTTATGATTTAATAAAATAATTCTAAAGGAAATTGTGTAATTATAGACTTTTTATTTTAAATAAGTTAAGGAGTGGGTAGTATAATTAAGGTCCATTGCAAAGCTGCTGTTGTATTTGTGTAAGATAAATGCTGGTCAGATTTAAGTGTGTTGTCTGCAATTCATCAGGATTAAATTATCTAGTTAACTTAAGGGATATCTCTGCAAGGAGAAACACCTTTTTAGATCTTTTAGATGCTGCTTCTTCAATGCAAGGAAAGGAAATAACCCCAGCGAGGTACTCTTCAGGGACACAGGTCTAGTACAAGAGAACTCTTGACGACTAAGCTCAGCCAGTCTTAAAAAACTGTGCTGTATCTACAAAGCTTAACCTACAGTAGTTGATAAGGATGCCAACGAAAGCTGAGGGTGTAGAGCAAAGTAGTTCTAAGCATCAGTTAAACTTCTTTAGGTAAGATCTTATTTACTTTTTCTTTCTTAATTTTCCTCCCTAAAAGATATACTAATAAACTCTTCAATGATCTTTCAGTATAGTGGTTCTTATGTAGTTTAACATAGCTATAAATTGAGTTTAACAAATAATAAACTCAAGATAATTTTATAAACCCTGTTTTCCAATCTGTCATTTACTTAAATTATTTTGGTTGTTGTTTCCATTTTTTCCTTCTTTCTCACCCCCTCCCTTTCCATGAAGATTCAGGTGCTTAACATATCATTTTTTTCCCTGCTGGAATTTTAGCATTGATATGAACCATGGACAAGTATATTCTGCTGCCACAAAGACTGTAAAGTGCTTCATTTCAACAGCTGAGGCAAGCCAAGTGATCATTAATAAAGCTTTTCTTGCTTCCTTCAGTGGTGTTGGTAGTAAAATGGTAGGTAAAAGTTAGGCTGCAAGTTCAATAAATGAGATTTACCTATCATTCCACCCTCGTGTATTTATTCACCTGTCCTGGATCAAGCAGTTTTGAGTCAACTAGGCATTTAAAGGCATTGTGTTTATTACTTTATGGTTCTAATTTTACATGCTTAATCAGGATGAGGCTGACAGGAGGTTTGAGGATAGTGTCTTTACTACATTAGAAATTTCTGTGCAACAACAACAAAACCCTTTTGTGTACCCTCTACTAAATAATTGGGTTAAGATTTAAATTTCACCCATTGTCCTACCCTAAACTGCTGTAGGTTGGCTATTGTAATTAGTTTCTTAAATCTACCCTGATTTCTAGGCTTTATTGCCTTTCCAGAAATGTGATATTTAGGGCTTATACACATCAGTGAGTCTGCTTTAATCCTAAAACCACCACTGAAGTTATTTAGGTTCTTTGGACAAACATGATAAACTTCTTCAGATACTTTTTTTTTCCTTTGGCAGGAAGGTGTCTTGCTGCAGGTAACTAATGAAGAAGTGGTCAACCACAGAGTCTTCAAGAAATAAGAAATTCTGTACCATCTGAAAGTAGTTCTTGTTGGTGCCTTCATTTAAGAAGCACTTTTAAGATAAAAGGGAATGTTCTCTGATTAAAAACTTCATTTAGTACAGGTTCTTGATAAGATTCAAAATGAAATAAGTGCTGTTTGTATAGCGTAACATCAAATTAGCTAAGGATAATGTATTATGTTTTAAGATAGGATTTGTGAGTAGACAGATGAAAGGTCTATTTTGAGTACAAGTTTTATAAAATAAATACTTTTGTATCCAAATAATGCGGTGTAATGCTTACACACAAGTGTGAATCTTGTTCTATCGACACCAGTTGTCTACAAGATTGCTATCCCCTTAAATTTTAAGTTAGTTTGCACAAAACTGCATTTACAGTTCCCATTCAATATTAATAGAAAATGAGAAAAGCAATAATGGGCATAATTTGCTGTCCCTAATAGTCTTTATTATGAATTGTGCATTGCTACAGTTTCCCTATATTTGATGGTGGCATTTGAAACCATGGGTTTTAACCACATAGCGTGGATTTTAATTAGTATATACAAGAGAGTTCTGCTTGAGTATGAGATCTCATTAACACTTCTCCATGAATAGCAAACTCAGTCTTGTGGTTGAAACTTATGGGGACTTGGTGAGTTACTGACCATAGTAAGCATGTAATATATATCAAACATGGTTTTGATAATGAGGCCATATACAGGTAAGTCAGTGGCTAATAAGTGAGAGTTCGTTCTTAAACCTTGTGAAACTAGCATGTTTATGAACATTCTATCCAAATACTTGGTTTCCAACTAGTAGGATATCTTGGTGATTTATGCCTTTAATCTCCACAGAGGTTAAAGTTGGACTTGAGAGGGAAATTTGTAGTACATAGTTTAAGTTACTAAGACAGTAAAGATAACATCATAAAAGGAAAATTGACTGTGACTCATGGGCAGTATGGGAGCGAGTTTTGTTCATGAAACTTATCTGCAGCTTTTAAAAAACTAGTAGGGAAAGATGATTGTAAGTATGTTTTTACAATCTGATTTTGGATGCTCTGGAGCTGGATGGAATACCCTGTCTTAGCTGTGCCACTGGGAACTGAACTTGAGTTCCTATGGAACAGCTCTTAAAACAGAATTATGATGTTTTAAAAACTAGTATAAAGTAAACAAGTCTATTCAGCAATCTACACTCTGACCACCAAAGATCCCCCAGGCTCCAGCAAACAACCATCATCTGCTGAATGCTTTTAATAAAAGTTTCATAAAACTTGACACATAGTAAACAGTCTTGGGTGTGTTATCTTGGTGTTTGGTTTATGCACACGTGGCTGGCATAGATTGATCCTGACCCTGGAGTATTACAAGTTACCACAAAGTACAAAGGTGCAAACACTTCAGTTGCCCTCTTAAGGCAGGAGTTCTAATTTGAATCCATAGGCTTCAGAAATGTATAAGATTGGAGTGGTGAAAGTCCTATGTCATCTTAAATTTCTTTGAACTGGGGACAGTTGGCTAAATCTGAAGGACAAGGATGTGCCTGGTTTTTGAGGGAAGATCCCCAAATGGCCTTCTAAGTGTGTGGATAACTTAAGCGGTTTTTATCTGGTCATAGTAGGTTGTCTCCAGGAACACTGGAAAAATTGTGTTTAAGGTTTTCCTTTAAATAGAAAATGAGTATTGAGTTTGAGTGTCTACCATGTGTGCAGCCCTTAAGAGCAGTGATCATTTGGAACTGCATGTGGGGAATCCAGCTGGGTCTTGAGAAGAGCAGCTAGCAACCTTGTGAAACCTCCATTCCTACTTTTGACTGGTGCTGTTGCTTTGTTTTTACTTATGTTGGGAGAGAATCTTTATTCTAAGCACTTTTGTGCACTTTATAAATTGTGTGCCTTATATAAGTATAGGAAGCATTGGTTCACACATCTCATTCAGTGATGGACTTACACATCAAAGCCTCTTAACATTTGGGAAAGGAGTTTGTTGACTCATTACAATGAATGACCACTGAGCAAATCTTGGAACTGGGATATGCCAGTACAATATTAAAAGTCTTACCAAATTTGGTGACAGGTCATATGTTTATGTTGTAATCTGTATGATAAAAATCTGAAGGTCATTACTCTGGTTCATGGGCATCTGAATTTTAAGATGGTTAAGTGTAATCTGAAAGTTTAGAATATTTTAGGTTGTGAGGTCAACACAGACTGGTACTGCTGCCCTGTGTTTCTCAAGGGCTTTTTACATTTAGATATGGGGCTATGACTACATTCTCAAAAGCTGGGATACTTTGCTCTGAAGCTTGAAGTAATTTATTGACTGCATTTTCTTTGAAGGACAAATAAGACATTTTGTTAAAATAAAGTTTTTATAAATTCAAATATAAAAAGTTTTTACATACTTGTTTACATGTTAAATACTAAATACCTTCAGAAAACTAAAGGCTACTCACGTTATATAACCATCTTAAAGCTTTTTCAAGTGACCACCTTAAAGGCTGTAAAAGGTTATGTGAACATAGGTATTAGTGCAGAAGTGGTCCATGAAAATGTGGATTCTCCCAACTTCACAGAAGCATAACCTTGAATTTTAAGCATTTATCAATACAAACTTAAAACACATACCCTTAACTGATTCAAGTAACAGTGCTTTTAAGAATAAACAGTTTGTGATGCAGGGTCACTGGATCCTGTTCAGTTTTTCCTCTTTCCCTTTGGGGCTTCCTTTTTGTGTCCTGATGTGACTTGTTCTTTAGGTACAATCAAAACAGTTCCATCATTATTGTACTGGAGTGCATAGTGGTTTGGATTGACTGGCCTACCTTGGTCATCTATTAACCTACTAAAAACATCATAGTAGAGCTCATGCAGCTTCTGTTTCATTATGTCAATAGCTTTGTTACATTGATTTTGCTCATTCTTCAGGGCTTCCTTCTGTGTTTGCAAGTTACATATGTCATCTTCTAGATTCAAAATGATGTCTAGTTTACGTTTACGACAGTTTTGAGCAGCAACTTTGTTTTTTCCTCTTCGTCTGATGTCACGAATGAGAGACACTTGTAAGTCTGATAGGTAGTGCCTGCTTAGCATACTGTTGAAAGAGTCAACAGGCATGTGGACAATTTCATCTACAGAAAAGGGAATATGCAGAGCTTTAGCACGCTGTTCGTCACGGCTCAAGTTTCTATCTGAGTCAAGGCACTCACTGATTTTCTGAGACTTCTTTGACCGTGCCAAAGATTCAGATATGGGCTCTGGTACACCTGGTTGTAAGTGGTAAGTGTGGTCGTGAAATACTTGCTGACATTCAAGATCCTGGTAAAAGCCAGACATAGTCCTAATATCCATATGACAGCGTTCTGGGCAGCAGCCTCCTACAGCACCTAAATCATGACTAAGAGATTCGAGGTCACTACTGTAACCTACAGCACCATCATACATACATTGAGAAGAATTAGACTTGGTGATAGAGGTGTTGTAACTTGAATTTAATGAGATCCCAGAATCAGAGTCTGGATCTTCAAAAAGTTGAGAAACTTCCATTGGATTGAAACCTGTGGCCAATGACATTAGGTTTATTCCATCAAAGATGCTTGAATCAGTGT